ATGCAGGCATGAACCTACGTCTGCTTTCCTAAGTCTGAGCCTTTCCTAAGTCTGAGCTCAGAGCCTCAGCATCTGCAGTCATGGCTATTCTAATATATTCTTGCAGGCAGATGATACAGCATCTATTGTTAATATTTTTTGATAAGTCCCATTAAAAGGCCTTCTTTCTACTTATTTGCAATCTTGCCAAACTTGACCCAATAAAGCTGAAATTGTTTATGCTTTTACGTAGTTCTTTTTTATTTAAGCCATAAAGGATTTCTTCTTTCCCTCAAATTGGAAAAATATTGTTTTGTCCATGTTACAAAAGTCTTGCAACTTTGTTTTTTAAATGCCCCTGAATATGTAGGGTCTGGAGTAGAGTTGCTCACCTCTGCGGCAGGGGTTTCCCTTTTGTCCTCATTGTGGAAATCTGACTGAATCTAGCAAATTTATAAATCTTTGGGGGGAAAAAACACCCATTGTCAAGTACTCAGTGCATGCTTTACTGGAGTTTTGACAGCTAAAATTTCCAAGGACTCCCTTTCACAGGAACACGGTAAAGCTCTTTGTAGGAGCCCAACGGGGCTATCCACATGCCAACTGCAAAGAGTAACTAGACATGTTGCAGCTCAGGGCTATGTGGAGTCGTGGACATTCCCACTGCAAAGCCTGCAGGGAAGCCTCAGCCGGTGCTGCACATGAGAGGAGGAAGCCCTTCCTTCTCCTGCACTGTTGGCGGATGCGCCTGGGATCCAGGTGGCCCTGTGAAGGAAGCATCTCAACATGAATGTGGAAGAAAGAAGGGGAGGAAAAAAAAAGAGAAAGGAAAAAATCAAGGCAAGATGACATTGATGTGAGAGAGGGGAGAGAAACAGTAACTGGGAGGTGAAAGGAGAAGATGGAGGATGATTAACTAAGGGAGAGTTGGAAGTCAATGAGGAAAACACTGGGGATGGGGAGATGTTTGGCTGGGTGGGGGGCACAGAGGGAAGAGGTCCTCTTGCCTGGTCCCTGGGTGGATGAGAAACTGAAGGAAGGAAGGAAGGAGAGATGTGGTTCATTTGGAGATAGAATCTTCTGTTAGGAAGAGGCAGAGTGGGGAAAAAGGCAGAGAGAGAATCTTCAGGGGAAAAAAAAACAACTCAGAAAATCAAGATCCAGAAAGAGGGCTTAGATTGCTGAGGCAGGGAGCCTGGGACAAGGAGCTGGGGCAGCCTGACTGGGTAGGGAGGACACCGAGAAAGCATGTGTGAAGCTGGTGTTTTAGGGAGAGTGGAGCAGAACAAGGAGACTGAGACTAAATAGCTGGGCCTGCTTAAGTAAGAATGAGGAAATTGTGTGGACTTAAGTGTTAATGAGCCTCATTGAGCAAGAGAAAAAGGGGCAGCATGTGAGGAGGGGGAGAGAAAAGACAGGGAGATACTGGGAGTCAAACAGTGAACCTGGAAGATAACTGATGCGAAGGTTTGAAAGCTGAGAAGACAGAGGATTGGACCATGGGGATAGGTGAGCAAAGAGATTGGAGAAATAATAAAGAGCAACAGTTGGATTGGAGACAGGACTGGAAGGAGATACAGTTGCAGGGACCTCCACGAGGAGGTAGGCAGAAAGCCTTGCAGTAGCTGAGCAAGGATTCCCCCAAGAAGCTGGAAAGGAAATCCACTTGGTAGCCCAACCCCGAAGCAGGGGTGCTCTCAGGATGCTCTCAGGGCCCTCACACCAGGAAAGGAAATTACAAGAGTCTCCCCATACTCAAGCTGCTGCTGCAAACGCTTGCTCTCAGAGCTCCTGTGGAAAGATCTGTGCACTGGCTCGGAGGGCGTCCATATGATGATCCTTTAAGGAAGCGTGGTGTGGGAGGGAGGAGCCCTACAAACTATGCACAGAGATAATTCTTAAAAGTGTATTCTGTGGGCTAAAAGCCAAGCTCTAAAACATGAAGGAATTCCAATGGCAGTAAACCTTTGTTCAGCCCGGTTGGTGCAATTAGATATTACACTATATGCTATTTATACTTTCCATTACTGTTGGTGACTGCCTCTGGGGAACTGCAAACCCAAGACCAAGGTAGCGTGCAGCTTGCTATGTGTTCTGCAAGGTGTGAGTTCACTTTACTGGCACAAGGATGGCTAAACGACATCCTGAAGTGGCCACATGTATCAAGTTGTCCCATAATGCCTTCACATTACTTGAGTCCTCCTAGGAAGTAGCTTTCAGCTGACTCTGGCAGAGGATACATGGTGTTGCTAAAGTGCTGTTGAGATGTACAGTGGCAGACACAGGTGGAGTGTGTACATCCACGTCTGTGTCCATCTACTGCAAGAAAGGAAGGAAGAGAACGTTTGCCACATTCGTATTTCTGTGCCAAGAAAGGATTGTACATATGCATGCAGCAGAGCTGGGGGTGCACACACGTGTGTGCTTGAACTCTCATACAAGGACAAAAAATCAAGCACACGTCCTTTGCACTGAAAATGGACAAAGTTTGTGATGATCCCTAGACTCTGTAAGAGCTGTTCCACAGCCTTTTGTTGGTCTTGGAAATACCATCTCCTGCACAAATAAGCTTTGTTACCACTGGAGAGAGTCTCGTGTTTATTCTAGAAATGAAATGATCTTTTTAAGCCATTGAGTGCTTCAGGAGGAGAACCAAAACCTTGAACCTGCTTCAGTCTTCTGTGGCAAGGCAACATTGAGCTGAGGACCTGCTAATTAATACAGTTTCTGTTAATGTTTCTTCTGGAGCTGAATATTAGCTATAATTGTTTTGCTGGACATTTGCACTAGCTATTTTCAATTTTACAGACAGACAGGGTCTGCATATGCATCTGTCATTGAAAATCAGGTTCCATGGAGCATATCCTTGTGTGCACCTCTACTCCTCGTCATCCTTTTGATCCCATACTTTGTTGTTCACAGTAGCATATCCCACAGTGGCAAACACAGATAATGCTTACTAAGAAAAGTAATAAGAGTAAGGTATTTAATGTATTTCTAGCCTTCTTTAATGTGTTGTAGCTGTGAATACAAGGCAAAAAGCAACACCAGATGACCATGCTACTTTGGGAACAGTCTATAAACTGCAGTTAAAATAGTTTCAAGATATTTATGCAGTGTATAAGTCACGTGAAGAGAGGTTTATCACAAGCAGTAGGAATGCTGGATTTTCATATCACACATTCGCTGCTTAGAATGATTAGCAGGAAATTTAATTTGCACTAATTAGCCCTAGGGGAGCAAGAAATTAACTTGATGGGTAAATTTCACATTTTACTATATACCATACCAGCATGGAGAAATTTGAGTTAAAGCCTGAGTTGAGTTCTGTGTTAATACACTGGACTTCAGTTTTTCTAAATTAAATTAAAAGACTGTAGAAAATTAATATATGCATGGTGAGTGGGTGTGGTTTTTAAGAGCTAGAGTCATAGAATAGTCGTTCAACATATTCATTGAATTGTCAGCCACTTCCAAAGAGTGTAGTATATTTTTGTACATTAAATTACCTTAATATCTAATATTACAGCAAAAGCTTTAACAAGTCCTAATTTTCTATATTTGTGTATTTTCATTATATAATGTGCATTGTGACTGCACATGCAATATTCCACATTGTAATGCACAGAGCAGAAACAGTTTTCACAGAACTACTGTGAAAACGCCATACTTTTTGATTTACAACACCCACTTGCAAATACATTTTTTGGGTCAGGAGCCTTTGTTCATATGCTGGCAAAATTCCTATGAAAATAATTTTTTTAGAAATTACTCTCAAAAGTATACAGCAAATGAGGGAGGCATGAGTCACCACGTAGTTCTAATAGACAAATAAGAATTAGGAACTAATAAACTCTAATCTTGCCTGTTGATGGTGACTTTTCTATCTCATTCTTCCAAAACACCGTTTAGATCGCTTGGTTTTTCCCTCTGTAAAATGGAAGCAATTTTTATGTATCCACCACTCACAATTACTGTGGATTGATTAATGCGTGCAAAGCAATGAGTCATTCGGTATGGAAGTATTGGTCTATTATAAACTGAAGTGTTCTGTCATCCCAGGCTTGTGGTTGCATCCAAATTTATCTATAAAAAAGGAGATGGAAAACATCAGTTGCATACAAGATAATTGCCTTTGATGTCAGTGCTTCTGCTAGTTTGTGCATCTGAAGTACACTCAGAAGCTCACTATCACTATTACGTATTTGGAATTAGATCTTGTAGTACTTACCTGAAACTGCTATTGAAGTGAGAGGTGAGAATTTTGCCCAAGTAAGTGTTGCAGAATTGGGTACCTTGAGTCCAGAGTTTGGGGTTGAAGTGGTGCATATAAGCTAATTCAGGCATCTGCTCAGACTTTCTAGTCTATGACATAAATACTTCTTGTCTAAAGAGAGATCTCAGACAGACCTGTGGGTAGTCATATATTGTGTAACTTGTATCGTACTGCATTCTCAGGTCCTTCTTCAATCCCCAGGACTCTCATTTCTCAGCAGTAGCCCTCCTATTCAGTCAAGAGTGTGTGTATATGTGTGGGTGGATATATATAAATACACATGTGCCCACACAGAGAAACATATACAAGGACACAACCCCCTATATAAATGTGCTTTGCCTTTTTGGGTGTACGAGTATATTTCTGTAAATGCTCACCACTTGTATTTATACATTTATGAGTAATATCCAACTTTCAGTCATAATTGACACTATGGGGCTTTCTGTATAATAATTACTTTGGGACAAAAAAGCTTGCAGATGGTTTCAAGAGTGACTCTAACTTGCCATCAATGTAAAAAGATTAAATAAGATGAGCCCACTCCCTCTGAATGGAGTAAGCCATTTTCATTGATTTCAATGGGAGCAGGCACAACTTCGTTTCTACAGCAGAGAACATGTATTATATTCATTAAATGAAAGTTTGATTTCATTGCACTTAAAATTATTCATGTTCTGTTAGCAAATGGTTTGAGATTTTATAACCTAGAGCATTTGCTGAATTCTGCTTTGTATTTTCCTCACAGCAATTGGAAGGACCCTCATTCCTCGTTATTTTAGCACTGTCTTTGAAGGAGGTGTAACAGACCTGTATTACATTCTCAAGCACTCAAAAGAGTCATACCACAACTCATCCATCACAGTGGACTGTGATCAATGCACCATGGTCACTCAGCATGGAAAACCCATGTTTACCAAGGTAACAGGGAAGACTCAATAAAGCATGTTGTTGGTTTTTGTTTTTCTTTTTCTTTTTCAGTGTGTATAAGGGTGAAAAATATTGGCTGTTGCATTTTTCTGGTAGACTGAGATTATTTCTAATACTGAAAACCCTTGAAGCCATGTAATTACTATTTTATATATTCATTAACATGACTGGAAAATTCTGTGCGTATCCTCTGCAATTCTCCCAGAAAGATTGCAAGAGAAGCACGTAATGCCAAGTTACCAGAACCATCAGTTGTACATGAATTAAATTCAACCTGCCCATCTCCTTTTCTCTGGGCTTAATTTTAAAGCCACAATGAGATTTCACATTGCTGGTACCTACCATTTGGGATGGTATGTGTTACATTTGATACTTACTCAGTCCAAGGACTATAAATCTCTAGAAAAATAGTGATTTAATACAGTAGGATGCTGGTCCAATGAGCGGTGAAGTCAATGGAAGGAGTCAATTGATTTAAACATGCTCTGAATCAGACAGTTAGTGAATATTCAATATTTGTAATTGATAGTGAATTATCTTCATGCATTGGCCGCTTCTAGTCCTGTAATTAAACTGAGTGCCATATATTTATAAAAAACAGTACCAAAAAGGTGGAAAATACAAATTATAACAAAGATTTTCTTATATTAAAAAAATCAGTAAACTGATTTTCAAAATGCAAATGTCTCCTTTCATAAGTTAACAGGAAATGATGATTTTCCATCTTGTACCTGTTCATCTGTGAATTTTAACCTTTGCATGGAGAAAAGCACAAAGAGCAAAAGGAGAAGGGCCAGCAGGAGGAGATACCCCATCCACGTTGCCCTTGGCCTGCAGGACTGTGGAGGTTTATAGAGTCAAGAAAGGCACCGGCTATTGACAGCATCATGACCAGGGCCCACATGGCTTACACTGTTTTAGCATGTATGTGAGTCCCATCCCTTCGTAGTGTCTTCCCTGCCATCTGCATGGCTCTTGGAGTGGGGCTTAAAGAAGAGGGAGAGGAAGCCACTGGTTTGCGGAGCACTGATGAGCTGGGAGGTGTGTGTTTAATGGTGTCGTTATTCCAGCTCTCCCACTCCAGCCCTCTGTGGCTTACACAGACACAGAGAGAGAGAGATGCGAAGAGACCAGGTATTCCTAGGTAGCACCTCTTTGCTACCTCACTGCTCCTGAAGAGTTGGGTGTGCTGGCCATGTGCAGAGGACATGACCAGGGTGAACAGCTCTGCTTCTCTGCAAAGCTCCCTAAAGCGATTGCTGTGTCATTTCCCTTTGTGTTAGCTTTAATGCTATAGCAAATAAAAGTGGGTTGTGGGGATTTTTTGGAATCGGTAAATACAACACACTTTTCTCAATTCACTTAGTTTATTTTACTTCTCATGACAGCACATTACAGTGTTGTTGCTTTGGAAAGGAGGCTGGTATCCAGCAAGTCAAAGATAGACTAGCAGCAGAGACGGGGCTGGGTGCACACCTCGTGTGAGGGGGCCACAGTCACTTTCCGTAGCAGTATCCGGCTGTATGCAGTGAGTCTGTCTGTCTGCTGCGGTCCTGGCAGCGCACAGCCTGCTGCAGCCCTGACATTACTGCTGCAGGTTCCAGTATAAACCTCTGTATCCCGGTAGAAAAGTTCAAGTGGGGATGTGATTTGGATTCTAGCAGAAAAATTAGAGGGTTTAAATGGCTATATGTTTAAAATATGACTGTGTTAGTAAGAGCAAATTTGAAATAAAACACAGTAGTTGGTTGAATAAAGGGGGAAAGAATGTATTACTCTCTCAGAAATGAGCTGAATGTTGTCTCAGCTGTGCATGTGTAACTTCTAGCAGAGATATCAAGGGGACAGATCTTGTACCCAAAGGTAAACTCCTACTCTCACAGCGTCGGTGGTGAAACAAAGCAGACCTCCCATAATAAGCAGCACTCCAATAGACTGTGTAGTTCCTTAGATCATGTCTGAATTAGACCCAGTGAAAGTACTGCAAAGGGGTTTTTTAATGCAAAAACACTAACTGTATTTGTTAATAGCTGTTTCAATTTCACAACTTCTAGGTTGCAAATTCACTAACTTCTAATATAACGGGCTGAAACAGTTTTTATCATGTATTGAATCAGGAATGCACAGCTGCATTTTATTCATTTCAACATTTTTCTAGTTAGAGCAACTCACTGCATACTGCAGTAGTGGATAAATATATAAAATGGCATTTCCAATTTTTTCAAACAAATACGGCTAGAACATGCCTAACAGTAAGGATATGAATAGTCCAGCTTGTCTTTAAAGGGCAAGAGGTCCTTATAAAGTGTCACACAATTAAAAAATAGATTTATCAAGGTATAAATAAATACTATACAGAATTTAATACAGTTCAATGGCATGAATTAAATGTGGTAAAAGAAGAGACTGAAGCCCTGACTATCATGTTTGTTTACCTGGCAGATGCTTCAGTTTTTTCTCCAGGTAAAGGAAAGCTTTGGGAGTCCTCCAAAGTCTCTGTTTTCACCGTGTTTACCAACAGTCCAACTTTATATGTAGGCAAACTGTTTTTCCGCAGTTAGCGATGTTTTTATTTCCCGCCAGACTGGCAGAGGCGAGCTTTGCCTTCACCACTAGAGCAGCGAGCACCCTGTGTTTGAACCGTTCTCTTCCTGCGCCCAACAGTGGGACCATCAGCTGGATTTTGTAGGTGAAACCCTTGAAACTCAGTGATTTTAATCCTTATTGACAATCTCCGGCATTTCCCAGATTTGTATAAGCTTAGGTTTCTTTTCAAGCAACGACTCAGGTTTAAGAAATGGTAGTTAATAAAAGGCGAAGACGTCTAAAAGGTGCCCAGTGTTAGGAGAGCAAGACTGAGCAATAAGGCACAGGACCAAAGTTGGTTTTCATAGGTGCGAGCAGTTGAAATTCCTACAGTTAATAAGTGCAGTGAAGGGGTTAAAAAGCTATTGGTTAGTTTGAGAAATGTTCTTTTTTAGTTTTTTCCTGGCCTAGTCTAGAGCAACCACGTGATATACTGAATGCCTGCCAGCCTCTTTCTTGTTGATCCTCCGGAGACCATCTGTGCTGGGGGCATTGATTAGAGTGTGTCTGCTGGGATTACATCTTTTCTGTTGCCATGCCAACTAATCAGCTGATTTTGGTTACCACAGAAACAAAATGTCAGAGCTCACAGTACGGTTACATGAATTCAGCACAACAGAAAATGTTTTCTTAATTGGAGACCCTTTTGATTTTTTGGATGCTATGTAAAAGGCAGCTTTAAAAAAAAAAAAAAAAAGGGGCCCATTTAAAATAAGAACTGCACCAATTTTATTGATTAAAAGCAATGCGTAAAATTTTGCTCTACATAAGGAAATTAAATTCCTTTATAAGATGTATAAATTTTTACCACTGTGATATGAGGAATGTGTTTCAGTTTTTCTATTAAAATTGTTAATGCCAGTGCATAAAATAAATCTGTTAAGAGCGGTGAGGTTTTGAGCTTAAGAGAAGAAACATTTGAGAAGTCACAGGTATTATTATAAAAAATATTTTAAACCTGAAATGTTTTCCCGTTAACTGGTTTGTAATCAGGATCTTTGGCCCCAATACAGTAACTTTAATATAAAATGTTTTTCTTCTTTCATTAATCCTTATGCGTGTGCATGTGTACCCCTGTGTAATTTCTCATCATAGTTCAACTGATGCGAAAATCAAAATCAGGGTCAAATGACAAAATAAGTCACATTAATAATTTGAAGGCATCACTAAGGTGTGTTGAAAAGGGCAGATGAGAACCTGTTGCAAGATTCTCCTTCATAGGTCTACTGTAGTTTATCTCGATAGTATGCCTGTTAAAATTACCTACGTTTTTGCAGTAACAACCAGGGGAAAAACTGTGATGACGTTAAGTGAGCTGTTAACCAGAAAAGCCACACATTGCCCAAGTGGGAGCTAGACAAGTCCGAGTTGGGGCTTGTAAAACAGCTCAACAGATTCAGCAGAATCTAGGATGGCTAGTTGTTCAATGAAATATTAGTTTTATTAAAATTAAAGTTGCAGAAACCTTTTCTTTTGAAAGCCGTTACACCCTGTTCTCACAATATCTCTGTACCCTGCACTTGCAAGTTTACTTTGAACAGGAGTTGTAAGTCTAAACATCCAATTTAAAAAAAAAAAAAAAGATGGTAGAGGTAGTTAATTTTCAGATCAGGCATCATTTACAGTACTCCACAGTACCCCCAGTCAAGATACCATGCCAGGCGTATATTTTGCACCTTAAAGAAGACCACAGCCACAGTGGCTTTTCCACATAAAGTTGTGCACAGTGTTTAAAAGTCCCCAGTAATTTATTTCATTTTTCATTTCCAGGTAGTACCCACTTGCTGAATTTATTCCTCCCATATTTTCCTCTCCTTTCTTAGACAAGACCCCTCACAAAGCTGTGTGAGCCACTTTCTGTGGAAGCAGCTCCGTTGTCCACGACCGCAACCTCTCCTCTGCTCCCCTGGCTCTCAAACCTGCTGTGGCAGTGCAGCTCATACAGCCTGATGGCAGACACCCCGTCTGGTTTTCCTTGGAAGGAGGATTAATAAAAGTAGATAAGAAATGAAAGAAAAATAAAAATGGGATAATATACCTGGAAATGACAAGAACACTTCGAAAAGACAAGAAGGAAAAAATTAGGAAAAAAAAATCAGATTTGGCCACAGGCATTCAAGGCACTCACTGTGTGCTCCAACTGGACATGAAAGGAAGGTTTATATGCCAGGCTGTTGTAAGGAAAGGGCAACGTAAAACAGGTTGGGAATGACTGGTTTGGCAACTTGACATCAAGCGCGTGCAATTGCACCACAGCCACCTCCACTGCAAGGTTCAGTCATTAATTAGCAGTAGCAAACTGCGAGGGAAAGAATAAGATTTAGCACAAACAATATTCTATGTTTGTAAAATGCTATAAAATCTATAGTATTATAAGTCACTGTTTCTGCGGTAAGGCCTATGAAGTCATTTTCCCACGTTCATTTTTTCTCCCCAAGAGAACGAAAAACAATTAATCTAGCAGAGATGAACAATAGAATACTGCTCTGATATTTTTTTGAATGTTGTTTAATCGATGAGACAATACCATTGAAAACAAAATTCCTGGGAATTTATTTCATGCATTTTATGTATTCTAGGTATGCACAGAAGGACGTCTTATCTTGGAGTTTACTTTTGATGATCTTATGAGAATAAAAACATGGCACTTTACTATTAGACAGTACAGAGAATTAGTCCCACGCAGCATTCTAGCCATGCATGTAAGTAATCCTTTTTTCACTTGACCTAATGCAGAGATGAGATTAGGTTTATGAAGAACTCCAGCAAATTTCACACCCAAGGCAATTAAGTATAAATATTTTGTTTTGCCTGCAACTACGTCCATTTACAAGTTCTTTCATCACTCCCTTGTTTCTCAGTGCTCTATTGTTGCCACTGTTGCTATGTTTTCATTTTGGTTTAGCACGTAGTTTTCCTTTTAATCTCATTTGGTGGTCTGTATGATTTGGGCCCAAAATCTGTTCTTATTGATGTGAACTACACTAAAGTCAGTGAATTTTCATCATTATAGGTATGAATTTTGTTTAGTCTTTAAATGCAGCAAACTAATGCTATCCTCGCATGAGACAGAAAATAAGTAATTACCATATATTTACTTAGAAACCTTTAGAATTTTAATCCAGATCTTCTTTTTTTTTTTCCCCACATTTCAAGACTTTTCTTTTGTAATTGAATAAACACACACAGAGTAGAACATTAGAATATGAAATATTCTACAAATTGAAGTCAAAATATTAGAAGGTAAATCATTGTAGAGAAACGAAGGACAGTCTTATTGTCACTTTCAGTTCCGCACTGTAAAAGCATTCTGACTAGTACTGTTCCATATACACAATTAGTTGCAGGACTTTGGTTTTATAGAGGGTAAGAACACAGGCCCAAATATGTGCCTGTATTTTGACATCAAGTTACTTAGATATCCATAGATAAGGATATATTCTTAGTGAGGAATTTTAAATAACTTAAGAAACCTGGACTTTTTTGAAAATACCTTTGAAAACCTGCCCCACCATTTCTTTCCCAGGGTTATCTTTTATTTTAGAGGGCTGATCTTCTGAACTCTTCAACAGTATCCCATTAAGGAACAACAAGGATGGCCATGAGCAACATTATGTATTTAGGGGCCTGCTGCAATTCAAAGAGAGTGGAAGCAGGTTAGCCAGCAACCAGCAGGTATTAATTTTAGTAATGAGATTGATCTCATTTTAAAAAGGAGGCTGGTCTCACAGGTAAAGCTCCTGGCTAGGGTCAGAGAAGGACTGTACTTGCATTTTTCCTGTTTAATTCTGGGAAAATAACTTAGACCAGAAGGTTTCTCCAGCTTCTGCTTAATGCCACTTATGTGATCATCTCTGCTGATGGTGTCTTGATGAGTTCTCTCTGCTTTGGTTTTTTTAGCCACAAAAAGAAAGTGATACCTTCTTTACTCCTGCCTCTATTTAATCTCCTGGGACTCCCAGCTAACAAATGGAAGGCTCAAAGTGTACTGTGATCCCTCAGGAAGCTCTTTGGTGGCGCCCTGTTCACTTGCACCCCTGTGCATGACCAGACCTCCTATGTCTATCTTTTGAATGGGCAGGGACAGAAGGAAGATAATGGAAAACAGTCTTTATTCTGCTCCAGTTTCATAATGTCCTACATTTTCCTATGCAAACAGAAGTCTGTAGCTTATTACATAAATTTGGCATCAACTTGTAATTTTTCCATAGGAATGGCACCTCTTTTCAGAGAACCCTCCCTGCACTCCACCAACCACGTAGAGAAAAACGAATAGGCAAAAAGCAAAGTGAAAATTCTTTTTTCCTTTGTTATTTAGGCACAAGACCCTCAGGTGCTGGAGCAGCTGTCCAAAAACATCACTCGAATGGGTCTGACAAACTTCACCCTCAACTACCTCAGGGTAAGCATACCATAGCTGGTGATTATTGTGAGCATTTTTTAAAAGTTACTGTTAGCTTTGGGACAAAGTAATGAGAGCAGAGCCTGTGTTGGTCAGGTAAGAAATGGACCTAACCCTTAATGAGGGCGAAGGAGAAACACAGAGACTGTAATAAAGATGTAGCTGCTAACAATGCGCCATTAAAAAGGATAAGAATCTTATCATGGAGTTGAAGCAATGTGTGAGTAGTCCTTGGTTTTTCTTGGTTTTTCTTCTCAGTTTTGAATAATGGCTTTATTTTTTTTGTAAGGAAGAAGTTGCCCACCATTTTTCCTCTCTGCTTCACTGTTCCTGAGAAAATGGCAGCTCATTCTTATTAAGAGCTGCCTGTCTTCTCCAGCTCTTCGACCTCCCCACCTCTCCCAGGCAGAGGCAGGGCTGAGGGAAGGCTCAGCTCCAGCCCTTTTGCAGCAGTCCCTCAAAGCAGTCCTCACTTCATTTGCCTCTGGGAGCCTGAGCTCCCTCCTCAGCCTTGCACTGAATCGAGTGTGTTTTTTGTGATTAAATAATGCATTTGTTCCCATTGCTTTTTGACCCTTAAAGTGCATTCAAAGTTTGGAAGTTTATTTTTATTTTTGAAAGTATTCCCTGGTGTAGGCTTACAATGCATACACTGAAATACAGGTTTGTTGAGTTCATATTTCAAGGTTAAAATTCAGATTTTTCTTATTTCTAGACATGCCATTAGTAGATAAAATGAGGCAAATTTCTCAATGATACACCAGGCTAACTTGGCCAAGAATATCTGATTTTGTTCCTTTTAATTATATGAGTAGTTATTGAAGATGCTTTTTTAAGATAACAAGAGCACTAGAAAATGCAGTTATTTTCAGCCTAATGTAGAGCTATACCTGAGTGTCTATATTTTAGCTGCACTTCATTCAGGTCTATGAACCTTGTAATACATTCCCTATTGCTGGAGTCCTACCCCCAGAGTGTTTTAGATTCCGTGGGGGACAGTGTGCAGGACTGAGATGTGTGGTGAGATCTCTCTCTCTGTATCCTCACAGTTTATAGACAGCCCATAGTTGTACTTACTCTCTTAATATGATAAGCCATTGCTGATTGTTGCTTATGTGACGTTAATGTAACAGTTACTGTTCAAATTATAGTCTGAGTTGCGCAGGGCATAACTGCAAGAAGGATATGGCATTAACCCTCAGAGGAGTAATACATTGAGTTAGAATTTTGCCATGTATAAATTCAAGGATAATATGTCTATGTTGTGCGTCTCATGCTTAGTTTAGTCTGGGCTTTGGTACAGAGAGCAACCATTGTGCTTTGGCAACATTCCTGTAGCCACGCTGTCATTGTCTCGTGGTGAGGCATCCTAGAGCCCCTTCTCCAGAAATCCCCACTGGGGATTCCTCCTCAGTCATGTCAACTTTTGTGTTTCACCCTTGCAGCAAACTGGGCAGCAAGCAGCTGGCTTAGGTAGGCTATTTCCATGTTTTCTTTCCAAATTGTCCCATGGCACAAAGCATTACCCCGCTTTTGAGGTCTTTGATCCCCTTAGCACGACTGGGTGCACCAGCAAGCACTTGGGCTGGCCCACACCAGCTGCAGTACTCAGTACCCGTCCTCCATGAGGCTCAGAGGGCCATGCTGAATTTGCAGCATTCTCTCTATCACCGACCCCTTCTGGGTCCTTTGCAGCATATTCTGTGATTGCTGAATGTGACAATGCAAATGTGAAAGGCAGGGTCCCTGTTAGGAGGCAGCTGGCATCAGGCACCCGTGCTGCTCCCCCATCAGCATCAAATAAAAAAAAAGAAAGGAATGGGGGGAGGGAGGAAAAAATCCTCAGAAAAAGAAAACTGGGATCAAGGTAAGCGCTAGGGAGAGGAGCAGTGAAGTGGAAGGGGATGAAAAGATGAAGTCTTACTTTTTTTCTTCTTCCAGACTAGTTTTGTTAGCTTAACAGACAACATTAGGTCTCTGGGTGCAAAGCTTCCTCTGGCTCCTGCTGTGGTGATTCCAAAAGGAAATCTTTTTTTTCCCAAGCCAATCTTTGCGTCTCTCTTTCTTGCAGTGAGGAATTGATCATTCTGCTCTTTTTTTTTTTTTTTTTCAGATGTTCAGCTCATCATGGGAGTTCATATTAGATGATAGATTTCTATTTTGATGTCCTTCTTTCCCAATTACTTTCTTCTGTTAATTTTGACATGAAAATCTTTTCTGAAATCAGGATTGTAAAACCATGCACTAACAAATGTGTCAAATGCACTTAGGTTTAAGGTGTTTTATTTTGTGGTTGGGTTTTTTTTAAGTCAGCATTTTATGATATTTTATTCAGGCTTCCCAGTGTTTAGTAATTAGCACTGTTACATGGCTTTAAATAAGGATTTGAAACTAAGAATAAAAATTATTTTCTTTTTTTTTTTTTCCTGCTGCATACAGCAAAGGCTTGTGATACTCATAAGTGAAAACTTCACTGATGGGCAGAATTAATAATTGTTATTCTCTAAAGTGCACACAGCAGCAAGCTGTGCTGCAGTCTCTTTAAAGGGAGAATTTAAACCTGGATTTCAGATGGTTGTGATATAAAGGTAAAACCTGGATTTTTTACACTCTAGGCATCACAGAATGCTAAATCATTGCTGGTTGGGATAATTGCAGTTGCTGGCACGTAAACCTCCGTTCCAGAGTGCCACATGCCTGTAGAGGCACAGCTTTGGATGCGTGCCCTGGTTTGTCTTCATTCACTCTGAGTAAAGCTGTCCAGCATAGAAGAACATTGATTTTGTAAATCATATTTATATAAATTTAAAATATATCTTCTTGGAACCTGGCAATGAAATGTTTTGTCCTGTGTCATTTGCCAAATGCTCTTTCTCCCTGTTTTCTCTGGCTCTGTATAAAACCATAGGCTTCCTTTCTTTCTAGGTACTGGTTTGTTTTGTTCCAGCATAATTGATTACCTCATCAATGGGGTCAGCATACTTTGCTGTAACTGCTGCCTAGAAGTTGAATAGGCTGTCTCAAAAATAATGAGCAAAACCTTGTAGGTTTTAAATTAATATCAAGCTTTCTAAAATGTAATTTCTCATCAAGTAGTAGATATTATGAACTATCAGATAATAAGGCCAAGACCTACATCCTAGTCTCAGTCAGTACGAGTCCAGGAACAAACAGGAATCCTGTACAGAGTTTGAAGATGGAGATAACAGAACAGTTTCCACCAAGCTACAATAATTTAGTCCCCACACATTATGTTATTTTTTCTATGTAATTTTCTACTTGCTCAACTATTTTATTTAGATTTTCAATGCATAATGGATTTGAATGTGCTCTAAAACCAGTAGCTTTATACCAGCAGCATTATTCACAACTGGGAGCTCAAATGTTCCTTGCTGCCTCCTATAAAATGATTTATTCTCTCAAATTTTCCGATATTATAAAAAAGCCAGCCCCTGTGGTCAATTAGGCAGGGACTGCTTGGCCTGAGCCTTGAAATATAGTTGCATCTTGCCCAGCTGGTTTTCAAAATTTGTCTCTGCTTTCTTACACCATCTGGGTTGGAGTGATTTCTTAGAGCTCTTCCCCAGTTGTAGCACTTGCATCCTCCCCACGCTGTGGTCTGCTCTGGTAGCCAGTTTATTGGTGCTAATGGAGCCAAATCTGCATCTGCCCTTTGCGAAGTGAGAGTTAGCATGGCAGAGCCCTCCCACACTGCGTCAGGAGAGGTATCTAGGCAGGGGAATGCGCACTCCCATTTCCCCTTACATCCTGTATGGCTATATTAACCAAGGCCCATCTGAGCTACAAATTACCCAATTTGTTTGTTTTCTGTATAAACCAACACGGAAGTGTTACTATTGCAACACAGAGGACAATATTTTCTGAATCCTCACTTTCACTAATTTAATTCCTCACTAGACACTTTCAGATTTCTTCTGCTAGGAGGATAACATGCATTCTTTAATGGGACACAATTTTCTAAAGGCAATACTTACACTGCAATCAAAAGCCATTTGTATGTATGGTGTATGCAAAATTGTCTTTTGCACATGCAGAATAGACACACATGCAACAGCTTCCTTTAATGGACAGGGAAATTTGCTTTTCTAAATACAGTTTCATGCATGGAAAGGATATGAACTCAAATCATTTGGCAGCTAGTTTGCCTCTAATCTGTAACAGTTTGTGGCAGCTGTCTGGTCAGTAGTTTACAGCTGTTTGTGTATCTTCAATGAGGAAAGAGAAAGATTGCATGTAAGTGTGTTAAGGATGCAAAGTCAGGTTCTCCGGGAAAATAAATGCTGTATTTATAGTCACTCATATTACATGAATTCATTTCTTTTTGTGAGTTACGTTGTGTCATCATCTAACTACATCATTGTCATGCATTGTGTTTCCCACAGTTTCATCACTGACGCATGCAGTGCATGGGATGACTAGCCCTCACTCAGTAGCAAGCGCTCTGGTGCTACTCAATTCCTCGTAGGCTTTTCTGCAGCGTCATTCTAGTATCTCACCTGCAAGTGATGGTGGTTGCATAGCACCTACCAGCTGAAGAGGTGTTGCCGTTCCCAGTGCGCACATGTGGCACTGAGGCACACGGGTGAGCACCAGGGCACTCAGAGGGGTCAGCTAATGGGAGGTGTTCATTCTGATTTTGCAGAGCACTTGGAATTTGGATGCAGTCTGTCATCTCAGGCTAGCTCTATAGTTGAAAAAGTAGCAGATGGTGTTTCTGGGAACACACTGGTGAAAATGCTTGTTCCATGACTTAGTAGAGCTCGGGGGCAGGGGTAGTTTGTTAGAGCAGCATTGGTTTACTCTGAGATCATCCTTTCTTGTTCTGCAGTTCCCTGTTTCCATGTCTTCAGTAGATACAAATGAATTCCTACACACAGCAACTTCATTTACTTTGTGCTGTGCACTGAATGGAGGGGTGCTAGGGAAACAGAGTATGTGATCATGTAGCTGTATCCTAATGGATATAAATAAGAAGTTCT